GTTCAGCACAGTTCTGGTGCACAGAGCCATCCCTGGCTGCTGTGAGTCACTGGGAATATCAATGGAGAGAAATGAACTTCATGTATAGTCCCTGGCTGGGTCACCCCCTAGGGTGAGTTAAATCTTGGCTGTCAGAAACTGCTCTTGTGCCAGGAGTGCTAAGACATATTTATTTTTACCAGGCCTCTCAGACTGTCTTATTTGGAGTGAGAGATCCTGAAAAGCATGCCAGAATGGGCTGTTTGTCTCCCTTTTATTGTCCCCTGGGACATGCCCCTAGGAAAGTTGTAGGGGATTGCCAATTCCAGAAGGGTCTCAGAGACATTCGTTTCCTCAGAAACACCACCCCTTTCCTTCATCCTTCTAGGACAGACCAGGGGACTGAATTTCTAAGATCAGAATATTGCCCTGAATTAGACCATCACTAATGGCCTTTTCAAAGGATACCCTGGGGGTGCTAAAGAAACAAGATAGAAATGGGCACTATTTTGATTCAGTTGGGTTGGTAGAATCCTCTTACAACCCAGGCATCATTCAACAACCTGAATTCTAAACATAGTTTGACATTTCCACACTTTAAAACAGTGGTTCTTAATCAGGAGTGATTTTTGCTGACATGAGGCAATGCCTAGAGACATTTTTGGGAGTAGGTATTACTGGCAAATAATGAGTAGAGGCCATGGATGCTGCTAAACATCCTACAATAAGCAGGACATCCCTCCCCACAACAAATAATTATTCAGCCCAAAATGTTAATAGTGCTGAGGTTGAGAGACCCTGATTAAAAAGTTAAGAACATGAGTCTTAAAAAAAGAATTGCTCCATCTCTAGGATCACTTTCTTGTGTGAATGGAGGAAGGAGTTCTTAAAGCTATAGAATGGAAAACAAGAGAAACAAGAGAAAGCACAGCTAAAGGAGCTAAAAGAATCCTATACCTATCTGCCTAGGGATGCCTATTTCCAATATTAACTCACTTAGTGGGAGTTATATTATGTGCCAGACACTCTAGAAGCAGTAGTAAACAGATATATTGGGTCCCTGAAACTTACAGTCTGATGCTTGGGGAGGCTACAAGTATACAGAGGCATTAAAAGAATGATCTCACAAATGAATTTAAAGCTACAAATGATAGGGGCATTCAAGGAAAAGTACAGGGTACTATGAAAGGACAGACTTGATTTAGATTTGGGGGTTCAAGGAAGGCCTGTCAGAGGCACTAACACCAGCATGCTGAGTAAGATTCATCAGGCTAAGTGTGGATGGGGTGGGTCTTCTAGGCAGAAGAAACAGTATGTACAAAGGCCCTGAGCCAGGAAAGATTTACAGAAAAATATAATTAACTTTTAGCAATGGTATGCTTTTATCTAGGTTCAGGGGGCTACTACTGGAGAACAGGAAAAAAGAAAAAAAAAAAAGAAAGTGTAAGGGAATAGTCTGATTTGCTTTTTTGTGCTTTCTTTAATTGCAAACCCTCCATACCACCACTTCAAGTACCAACACTTTTCACGTTCCAGCTCAGCAGTAGTATTTGAGCCAGGATCTGGGTACGATGGCTGATTCAGTTCCCTGGCATAACTTGGGACACACCCTGAAAAGTGGGACTTCCTAGATATATTTTTTTAATCTCCTGGAAGCTTGATAGTCACACACCTGAAACGTATAAATAGAGCTTTTGCAGCAAACATCTCAGTATGTCTTGTTTATTTCAGTAGCAAAGATGAAGTTAGAATGGTGGATAAACAAATGGATCAATGAATAAATACTCATTTAGTAACAAACATGACTCAAGCATCTATGTAACTGGTCTGTTTCACACATGCCCCTTTATAATTCATTTTCTACAGGGCAGCCACAGTGACTTCCTAAAAAACAAATCAGGTCATGTTATTACCAGGCTTAAAACCTTCCAATGGATTCCTATGCACTTAGAATAATAGCTGTACTTCTTACATGTCCTTTGAGGTCCTTCATGAGCTGGCCTTTGCCTAATTCTCTGACCACTTTCCCCCTTACTCATTCTACTCTAGCCACACTGGTTTTCTTTCAGCTCTGTAACATGCTATCATTTCTTACAACTTTTGCACAAGCTGTCTACTCTGTTTAGAATGCTGTTTCCCCAGACCCTTCCATGGCTGCTCCCAGCTCAATGTCATAACCTCAGAGCTTACCATCTTGCATTTGCCTTGTTCTCACTCAGCCTTTACCCTGTTTTATATAGGAGATTGGATAAGGGTTCCTGGAGGTGGTGCCGTTTTGCCAAAGTCTTAGAGGCTGTGTAAGAGTTTACTAGGCAGAAAATGTGGGAGAGGTACATTCCAGGCAGAGAGAAGAGCTTATCCCAAAGCAAGAGGGTGTGAAAGAGCTCAGTATGTTTGGGAATAGTGAGTAGAAATGTATAGCTAGAGAATTAAGTGTGTAAGGAAGAGTAAATGGCACAGTGGCTGGAAAAGTAGGTTGGGACCCAACTGTGAAGGAATATATATGTCTGCATGTTAAGGAATTTTGATTCATCCTAGTAATGGTGAGTTAGCAATGTTTTTAAAGTAAGGCAGTAGCATGGTCAAATTTAACATTTAGAACAATAAACTCTTGTAACAATGTAGAGGATGGCTTGGGGGAGAAAAAATAGACACATAGACTGCAGCTTTTTGTCCTAATATTCTAAAGCTTGGGAACTTCCAGTTCATCCAGTTCATATCCTAAGTTTATTTAATGATTCCTAGTAGATTCCCTCTCATCTTCCTGAACTAGTTATCTTAGCTTGTCTACTTGCAGCGTCGTCTCTATGCCTTTT